TGGTAGTCACACTCACATATTAATGGTACTGCCACTAAGATACTCATGGTAGCAAAGACATTCACCGTTGTAACTATGTGATCACAGATTGACCCGACCTTACCCCGCCACTTTCACTGCGACCTGACGAGCAGGTGGTGCGTGACCCACGCCTCGTTATTGAGAAGTGCCTATGTCACTGTCAAACACGCGACATGTTACGTGTCATACACCAAACCTTGTAGCGACGTAGGATGTAGGTAGGAAACTCACCACTAGCTCAGTGTGTCATACACCTGAAGAGTCGTCACCTCACAGCGCGCCGGGGTGACGATTCCTCACGTGGGGTCAGGTCAGGTTAGTTTAAGTAAGGTTTGGTGAGTTTTTTTTGCAATATTAGCTGTTATTTTCACCTAACCTATTAATAAAGATGTACGAATTACAAGATTTGATCCGAAAAATTTACCATAAAATAATGTTAAATACAATACTTGTTAAAAAAGAATAAAATTAAAATATTAAGCTACTCTTAAACAGCAGAGCACTGAGAACATACTTCTTATTTAATGTCAGGAAGCAAGTAGTATTTTCATCATTCTCGACAACAAAATGTTCGTGTTAAGGATTCCTATACCATATATTAAACCTACCTGGGAGGTGAGCAAGGTAAGGCGGGGAACACAATGTGGTGGAGCGGCTGTGTTGCAATACATGAGGGCCAGTCTTTGGTGTCCTCCACTGCCTCACCTGTACCGTTACTCTCTACTCAACCTTCCCTCGCCCATTACCACTCATCCGTTCCCTCCCCCTCGCCCATTACCACTCATCCGTTCCCTCCCCCTCACCCACCACCACTCATCCGTTCCCTCCCCGTCACCCACCACCACTCATCATCCAGCATCTCCTCACCCACCACCACCATCTGTTCCTCACTCCACCACCACCACTCATCCGTTCTTCCTCACTCCACCACCACCACCACACTCTATAATTACCCACTGCCACTCCAGCCTCACCCACCGCCACCTCCACACCACCACCACCTCCGTTCACCCACCACCACCTCCGTGTTCACCCACCACCACTCCTCCGTGTTCCCCCTCACCCACCACCACTCCTCCGTGTTCCCCCTCACCCACCACCACCACTCCATGGTGGTGCGACGGTAGTATGGTGGTGTAGCAGTAGTGCGGTAGAGTGGCAGCAATGTGTGGTGTGACTGTAGTGGTGAGGCAGAAATGTGGTGGTGTGGCAATAGTATGGCAATGAGGCGGCGTTAGTAAGGTAGTTAGGCAGCAGAATGGTGGTGTGGCGTTAATGTGGAACTACTGGGGGAATGTTGTGGTGTGGCAGTAGGGTGGTTGTAAGAAGATCATATGATAGTATGGTGGTAGTGTGTCGGTGTGGCAGTGTTTTGGTGGTGTGGTGGTCTGGAGGTGATAGCATGGTACTGTGTTGGGAGTGTGGCGGTGTGACGGTAATGTGGCAGTATGTGGTTAGGGTAACTGTACTGCGGTGGTAAACCAAAACACTAATGATGTGGTTTGGTACCTAGTAAGGAGTCGGTGTAGTGATATGGCGAGTGTTTTAGTAAGTATGGTAGTGTGGTGGTATGGAGGTCGTGTGGTATTGAGGCTATGTATGGTAGAGTGACTAGTGTGATGTGGCAGTGATACAGTTGTGTGGAGATAGTGTGAGGGTGATGAGTTAGTATGGTTGGTCTGGTGGTATTGTGGTGGTGTGGCGGAAGTGTGGTGGTGAGGCAGTGTTGGTCTAGGCTCGTAGGATTCCTCGATGTGTGGCATGTAGTGGAGTGAAGGACGGAGGGGGAGTCCATAACATGAAGCAAGTACTGCGGTGAGATAGGAAGGCGAGGAACCCATAAGATGAGGCAGATAACGAGATCAGACACGTAGGTGAAGAATACTTAATACGAAGGTAGTGAGGTGAGGCAAGAAGCTAGGTGCCTTCAAGGTGAGACATTTAATGGAGATAGGTTGTGACATGACGAAAATGACAAGATGAGGCAGGCCGGTGTGGAGCCCTGAACGTGAAGCAGGAAAGTTAGGACGGAGTTTTGACAGTGAAGAGCGTAGTGAGGACCTTGAACGTGTGATGCAGGAAGGCGAAGAGACCTCAACGTGATGCAGATAGTGAGGTGGTGAGTCTTCAACTCTAAGCAGGCAGGTGGGGAGCAAGGCTGCATTGTGTGTGAGGGGACGAAGGCTAATAAAAGGGCTTGTACTGTATGTGTTATGTAAGATACCGGTATTGTATAGAATTCATAAAATCTTCAAACAGAAATGTGTACTTACCGAATTTAAAAATTAAAATAAAAGCTACCGATATGTAAAAAAAAAATCAAATACTGGTTTCTTCCTCTCTAGCTTTAAACTGTGGTATCAAACAGAACAGCATCTGAATACAGATCATATTTTTAATCAAAGATTGTTGTTTTTTCCTGGCTTTAGCTGCGGCAAAGTCGTGAATAATATCACCCACGTTTAAGGATTGACAATTTCACTCTCAGCTAGTAACCATTGATGATAAATACAGCCGCAATGCAATTTCTACACCTGGGAACAAAATCCACCACGATACATCCATCTCATCTTTCTATTTTTGGGAAATCATCTGGATATTTCTGACATCACCGTCTGATACCTTCACTGACTTGAGTGCTTGGCATAGCTATTAGGTGGACACTTTACCAGGACACTAAAGTTACTATGATGTTACTTTACTAACCTTGAGACAGAGATTTAGGGCTTATTTTATCAAAATTAGGGCCTACACTCGAGGGGCTAGAAATATGAGGGACTAAGATTACAGCCTTATTAATCGAGGGGCGGATCCTGGAATATCAAAAGACGTTTTAGGTGGGGAAACATGGCGACCAAAGCGAGCCCACCATTATCATGGGCATTTTGAGGCCATTTTGAAGCAATGTGCACTTGATATTAGGAGATATTCTGAGGTCAATAGTAATTGCTTTTACTATACAAAAATGCCTGAATTGCAAACTACACTAAAGAAAAAGTTTTGGATTTTTTTTTATGAAAAGGGGGTTCCGGACCCCCAGGACCCCCCGCTGAATCCGCCCTTGTATTCCGGCCCTGGGGAAGTCTTTAACATGAGGCAGGGAGTGAAGTGAGGCAGCAAGATTAGGAGCTCTTAACGTGGGACTGGTAGTGAAATTAGTGAAGTTAGGAGCCCTCAATGTGAGGCTGGTAGTGAGGTTAGGAACCCTCAATGTGAGGCTGGTAGTGAGGTTAGGAACCCCTCAATGTGAGGCTGGTGTGTTAGAACCCTCAATGTGAGGCTGGTAGTGAGGTTAGGAACCCTCAATGTATGGCTGGTAGTGAGGTTAGAACCCCAATGAGGCTGGTAGTGAGGTTAGGAACCCCCAATGTGAGGCTGGTAGTGAGGTTAGAACCTCATGTGAGGCTGGTAGTGAGGTTAGGAACCCTCAATGAGGCTGGTAGTGAGGTTAGGAACCCCAACGAGAGGCTGGTAGTGAGGTTAGAACCTCAATGTGAGGCTGGTAGTGAGGTTAGGAACCCCATGTGAGGCTGGTAGTGAGGTTAGGAACCCTCAATGTGAGGCTGGTAGTGAGGTTAGGAACCCTCAATGTGAGGCTGGTAGTGAGGTTAGGAACCCTCAATGTGAGGCTGGTAGTGAGGTTAGGAACCCCAATGTGAGGCTGGTAGTGAGGTTAGGAACCCTCAATGTGAGGCTGGTAGTGAGGTTAGGAACCCCATGTGAGGCTGGTAGTGAGGTTAGGAACCCCAAGTGAGGCTGGTAGTGAGGTTAGGAACCCCAACGAGAGGCTGGTAGTGAGGTTAGGGAACCCCCAATGTAAGGCTGGTAGTGAGGATGGGAACCCCCAATGTGAGGCTGGTAGTGAGGTTAGGACCCTCAATGTGAGGCTGGTAGTGAGGTTAAGAACCCTCAACGAGAGGCTGGTAGTGAGGTTAGGAACCCTCAATGTGAGGCTGGTAGTGAGGTTAGGAACCCTAATGTGAGGCTGGTAGTGAGGTTAGGAACCCTCAACGAGAGGCTGGTAGTGAGGTTAGGAGCCCTCAACGAGAGGCTGGTAGTGAGGTTAGGAGCCTCAACGAGAGGCTGGTAGTGAGGTTAGGAGCCCTCAACGTGAGGCTGGTAGTGAGGTTAGGAGCCCTCAACTTGAGGCTGGTAGTAGTTAGGAGCCCTCAACAGGCTAGAGGTGAGGTTAGGAGCCCTCAACAGGCTATAAGTGAGGTTAGGAGCCCTCAACGTAAAGCAGGTAATAAGTGGAGCCCTCAACAGGCTAGAGGTGAGGTTAGGAGCCCCACAGGCTAGAAGTGAGGTTAGGAGCCCTCAACGTGAGGCAAGAAGTGAGGTGAGGAGACTTCAAAGTGAGACAGAAAGGTGAAGGGATCTCAACGTGAGGCAAGAGTGGACGTTTCTCTTAGCCACATCTCAACAAGTTCGCCTTAGCAAAGAAAAAAATACTGACATACCCGAAATATTAAGCAGCAACATATTTTTACTTTAAAAAAAATAAAATAAATATATGCTATCGCTTAGAATACATGGTCCCCGACACTTACAGTTGCCTGAAAACGGGTACAGTATTTGTAAGGTCCGTTTGCCTTGGATAGGATTGATAAAAGTTGTCTTGCTATGACATGCATTAAGTGATTGAATGGTTTCAGGATATATATATATATATATATATATATATATATATATATATATATATATATATATATATATATATATATATATATATATATGTGTGTGTGTGTGTGTGTGTGGATTGGTCCATAATATTTGAAAAGTACATGTCGCGGCATATTAAGGAAAGGCAGTTTTTTTTAAATATGAAATGCCGTAAAATATATAAAACATAATACAAAACAACTTCTCGGGGAAAAATGGTGAAGATGAGAGTGAAGCGGAGGTTACTGGGCCCACACTCACCAGCCTGGCCCGGCCCCTCTTTTGCACTAATACTAACTTCACTACTTCATACATACCATTTTTGTTATCACAGCTCTCAGAGTCAGCCGTGGATTCTGTTTTCAGATACAATGATGACTTATGTATATCCCAGCAATATCATGGCAAAAATAAAAGTTATCGCACTAGAAGAACGATAATACACACACTACTCTCGCCACATATAACTCTACACTGACGGGAGTTAAGGTTCCTTAGCGTTTCCTGAGACGCGTTCCAGGCGCAAAGTTGCCACATAAATATATATATTGTTTGTTTTTTATATAAACAAAAAGCCACCGTTTATAACCAATATGCAACTGATCACTTAATAATCTTATTGTTTATTCAGAAATTTAACATCACAAAACCTATTAAGAAATTATATATTTGTAAATAAATATAATAGAAATCTTTCATCTAACACTTGTGCAGCTGCTATTGCCACATGGTGGTCACAATAAACATCAGTATTTAACCCACATCGCTTGTAGTCGGGAAGCTTTGGTCCCATTTTTGTCATTTCATTTGAGAGTGAATCAAAACAGAAGACTCAGTGATGTTACTCTGTCTAAAGGGAATATCTTCAGTACTGGAAGGGGATGTCACCTCCTAGTGCCGCTAATTTACATAATTTAATATGGATGTCATTCTTTAAGCTACTGACAAATTTTAGACTGTATTGTAATTCATAGATAAGACTATTAAGTGCAAAAAAATATTTTTTCTTTGGGGGGTCATCCAATAGGAGTCAATTAATAGAGAACTTATTCCGACTGGTTAAGTGCTTCCATCAGATTCTGTACATTGCAAAGTAGCCTCGTATAAGAACATAAGAATGGAGGAAACTGCAGCGGACCTATTGGCCCATACTGGGCAATCCCTTTTACACCCAACCCATATCGCTTATATATCCATCCAACCTTTGTTTGAAGCTATCCAGCGTTTTCGAGTTAATGATGAAGTTTGATAACTTGCTCCACTCATCCACTACTCTATTTCCAAACCAATGTTTACCTATCTCGCGCCTAAATCTAAATTTGTCTAATTTAAAACCATTGTTACGAGTTCGTTCCTGGTTCGATAATTTAAGTACCTTTGTTATATCACATTTGTTTAACCCTGACTTCCATTTGTGCACCTCAATCAAATCGCCCCTCACTCTACGTCTCTCGAAGGAGTAAAAATTCAATGCTTCAATCTATCTCTTTACTCAAAGTTCCTAATGCCCGGGATTAGTCTTGTTGTCCTCCTCAGTACGCTCTATAGGGATTCGATATCTATTCTGCAGTACGGGATCCAAAACTGAACTGCATAATCCAAGCCGTCTCACAAGCGCATGATACGAGTTTTAGAAAAACCTCGCTAGTCTTGTAAATAACACTTCTATGTATGAAGCCAAGTACTGTGTTAGCCCTGTTTCAAGTAAATACGCATTTTTGTCTTGGTTTAAGATTCCTAACAGTCGGATTTCTATATCAATGTTGTGCATCTGATATCTGGTTTCACTATTTATATCTCCAAGGCGAAGTACTTTACATTTGTCCACATTAACTTTCAACTGACTTTTTTCACCATGCGATTTTTTTTTTTAGATCTTCCTGTAGTTTTGTGGAGTCTTCGTCCGATTTAATTACACGCCCTTTTTTTGTGTCGTCAGCAAATTTACTTATGTTGCTGTCTACGCCTATATCTATGTCGTTTATGTATGTTACAAATAGTAATGGTCCAAGTATTGAGCCTTGGGGTACTCCACTAGTGGCGTTACCCCCAGTCAGATTTAGTGACATTAATGCTGACTCTTTGTTTCCTGTCCTGTAAACACGCCTTAATCCAGTTTAGAACATCTTCAGTTCCATGTGCCTCCACTTTACGTAAGTATTAGTCTTTCGTGGGGACCCTGTCGAAGGCTTTGCCTAAGTCGAGATAAACCACATCATAATCGTGTCCGTCAGCCACTGATTCGAACACAGTTGAAAAGAATGATAATAGATTTGTCAGGCATGAACGCCCACTTGTGAAGCCATCCTGGGAGTCATTGATCAATTTGTGTTTCCCGAGGTGATTTCGAATTGAGTTTGAAATTATTGCTTCCTGTAATTTGCCTACAATTGATGTTAAACTAATTGGATGGTAGTTTGAGGATAGTGATCTATCTCCCTTCTTGAAAATCGGTATCACATTCGCTATCCTCCAGGATTCTGGTACTACATCGGTTTTTAATGACAATAAATGATTAAACAAACCACTCCAGGCTTCTGATTCTCATCAGTGGTAATTTAAAGGCAAATACAATAAATGTTCTCTAAAGCCTGTCAATTGCTGGGGAAGTTTCCTTATCCTTCTAGAAGGGAACTGGTTTTCGGTTTTCATATAGTCTACTGTATATGGACAATAAGTTTCTGTTGATTTGCTGATTGGTCAATTTTCTAAGTAGTGATAGACGAATCGAATTCAAAACGAACATGACGCTCCACTCTAGAGAAGTTAGTACATGCAGAAAAGGGGACAGTATTGTGAACTTTACGATACAAGCATAAAATTTGACTCGCATCACCATTTTGATGATTAGAGGAACTTTGGATTCACCGCAAGCTAACCGTGGTAGCCATATTTCCTAAATGGTCGCCTATGGAGGATTCATTGCAGATTAACTGTTAAGTTATATATAATTAATTATGCCTAGTTTCCCTAACTAAACCCCAAGGATTAAAAAAAACAATCTCGAAGTACCTTAGATGAACTACTGACCCCTTTGTATCATTCAGTGGATAACAAAGAAAATTTTACTTAAATTTTTTATAGGAATTAGCCCACCCGGGCACAGGTCATTGACCCATCAGGGCCTGGGGAGGGATGGGGCGAAAAAAAATACGAAATGGAAAAAAAAGATCAAGAGTGAGGGTTTTTTTTTTTTTTTTAGTTTAACAAATTTATTGACAAAGCTTGGTGTAATAGTTTGCCTATTCTGAGTAATTCAGTCAGGTCTTGACACTGAGGGTGGTATCACCTCTCACTGCCACATAAGACAGAGGTTCATACACAAAGGAATAGATCATATTCATTAACGGTATATATAGGTCAGAGTCATGTGGGTGATATCACTGTTCACTGCCATGCAGGACAGAGGTTCGTACACAAAGAAATACATCATATTCATTAGCTGTATAAATAGGTCAGAGTCATGTGGGTGATGTCACTGTTCACTGCCATGCAAGGACAGTGGTTTATATACATTGGACGTCATATTCTAATTGAAGACTAATCAGTGTGGGCTAGCAAATTTTGGATAAACAGCAAGAATGTCCTCAAGCACCCCTGATTCAATGTAGTAATTACAAAGTTCATGATAAGCCAGGTGACCTGATCGTCTTTTGACAGTGTCACATTCAATAATATAGTGTCTGCCAAGCTGAAATGTTTATCACAAAGTTTACATGCTGAGTACAGCATGGGCACAGCGTCATTAACTTGCCAGATGTGTCTGTATCCCAGCCTAATTCCTGCCACAACCACAGTATATCACATTGTTCAGTTCTGTCCTAATGCTGGCCTTACTGTTCTCTTGGTCACAAAATTTGTCGTGTTTACTAATGCTGCTAAACTGTCAGGTCTTCGCATTTCTCAGTTCTTTTCTAGATCAGAGTTCGCGATTCTTGACTAGAATGTTTTAAAGTACAGCATTGGACTGGCCAAGATCACGGTCAACATTTTCTTTCATACGCCCCTATTGGCGAGTCTATCACACATTCATGATACCTAATTCCAACATAGGACGGAATCCACACAACGATATAAACCGTTTCATTGGCAAATATCACATTTTTAATATCACATACAACTATAGACATATAGAACCTGACGGGCACTTTGAGTCACAGAATATCACCTCTACCTCCATTTTCTTTAAGGTAGTCTGGCAGCCAAGTAGATCCCAGTTAGTTCAGTTTGTGTTGTGCTGGCCCAGTTTATATCTTTACAACTGCACAGCCTCTTCTACCTGTGTTTAATTCGCACAGAACCATCAGTAAAAGCATAAGATCTACTTGACTAGTATTTCAAGTGTCTGTTAATAGTTTTAGTGTGTGATACATCTCACTAAGCATTTATGTCGTAACATTTGCTACTACCAATATTATTTAAATTAATAGGAACTGATATATCCAGCCAAGGGGGGATGGCATTAATGTGTCTGTCTGAGGATTGGGACATTCAGTTTCAAGAGATCTGCAACACTTTTATAGGGTCATACGCCCCAAAGAGAGTCTTTTTGTAGCTGCTAGCGAGATAGTTGGGATACAGGAACATCAAATCAGTTTGAGCCAGTATGTGAAACCATTGTTCTTCAAAAAACTTGACACAAAACATGGTATTAAATAGAGCCATCCTCTCTGTAGATAGGGAGGGCGCAGCCTGAGCTCTTTTCCTCATAAGCCATAATTCTGTTGACTGGGCAATTCTAGAATGATGCATATGGCTTCATTTTGCACTACCAAGGCTGTTGAGTTGTTTAGGCAGAATAGTCACAAGATGGAGAGCATGATAGTCAACTACAAAACGATGGAAGTGAAGATAGAAAGTAATACGAGCAGTGATGTTAATTCCATAGTCCTGCTAACAAGGGTTCTGGAGGGGCTTAATGTGCTGCATAAGTTTGGCATGAAGGTTGCTGACAAAGCTTACATCATTCACACAAATTCCAAGATATTTATAGAGCTACATAGTTCCAAGGGCATGCTGTTAATGTTATAGTCAAGAGGCAGGGGTGAGCAGGACGAGGATTGAGGACCCTTTGTCTTGTCAACAGATATTATGAGACCACATTCCACAGTCCTCTGAGCAAATACATCCAGCAAGGCTTGAGCCTGAGCTTGAAGTCTGTGTCATAATGCAGATATCATCAGCATAGCGTATTACAGCCTCGTTTATTGAACTGAATGTCAGCAATAAGCTTTTGCATCAGTATATTAAAGCATATAGGACTTAACACTCCTCCATGCGCGTGCCAAGCCCAAATGCTCTATTCTGGTACTTTTGACTCCCAAAAACAGAACACTAGCATATGTAAGTGACAGATAACCCCTTTATCCATGTATTCATTAGCTACATCAAAGGCCGATTTAAGGTATATGAAGGCTGTTTGTGTCTTTATATTTCGAGGAACAAGATATTCTGCAAAGCAT